GTGCCGTGGCATCCTGCGAGTCTGCACTCACCCCTTATCCTGGGTACTGGAGATAAAGTGTAGTGAGCTTAATAATTGAAGTGGTCTTCTCCCCGAAAAGACTTGTTGACCAAGCTGATTGTTCATTCAGTTTCTCCGTACAACTTCCATCTGACCTAGTAAATGAAGACGTGTCAATTCTGGAAGTGGATAGATTTGCGGATAGCGCAATCGATAGAGACCTTTTGTCCTACCACACTGTATCCGCTCTGTTCAAACATGTTCCACATGATGTTGTTATATTTAGTGAGTTCACATACGAGAGCCCTGTGGCTGAGTCGTCTGCTAGTGAAGGCAAAGAACCCACTTTGACAAATCAAGCATTGAAGAAGACGATATTGAAAGGTGAGTGCCGCCTCTTCAACTCTATGTTTGTGATTTGGGCTTCCAGATTATCGAAAGCCACCTATTTCAATGAGATTCATTTCATCATTTCAGTTGATGGCGCTTTCCCTTCTACTCGAAGACGGTTACCGGTTGTATCGGTTCACAGCAATGTAATATCGCCTCTCGATTTTGCTTGCCAAAAATTAGAGTTGAAAGCGAGTCAGATAAATGCGGTGCTGGATGATGTCAGTGAGACTCGTCCTCTTGACGTCAAAGGGCTTCAACTACTTCTTCAAGGGGCAGTGATGCCTACTGTAAGTGAATTTTTATTTGTATTTTCACTTTGGGAAGTATTCTTATGTCCCACGCTTTTCTAAGTGCGTCATATGTGGTCTTTCAGGTTAATGCGGGCCCATTGGCGTACGCGGAAGCATTCACACAATCCGAACAAAGGGAGCGTTATGGAGAAAAGGGAGTTCGTGATCTGGAAAGCGCCTTCAGGTTCGTGTTGGGATTGAACTTATAGATTATAAATGAGGGCAGCCATAAATCATCTGGAACTCTCTCTGAATCGCTAGTTCACAGAAGTCTGAGAGTAGACATCCATGGTTTGGGTGCGAATACTTGGACGACTAGTGGTTTATTATGTGGTTCAGGAAACTGATGTCAGCATGTGAACGTGCGTTGCAAGTCAATGAAACTGTTGTTGCAATGGATCAGCAGACCTATCACGAAGTTCTGTTGGCATCGTTCGACGCCATGCATGAGCGATTGTTCGGCTTCTTCGGTACTTCGGTATGTTGCTGTTCATTTGTAGATGATTATCAAGTCATTTCAATCTGTTTATCTGTCTGGAATAATGTGACCAAAGATCTCTCGATTCTATTTGGATTTCAGTTTTTTTTCTAACTCAATCCCTGATCACTTGTAATCGGCGACCAAGGACTTTTTCTAACTTGTATTCCCTCTCGAGGACGTGAAGTCTCTACTCGACTGTCTGTTGTTCCTGGCGATTGATCCCGTCATGAGCTGGGTTGACAAGTCTTCGTAGAGAAATAGCAAATATGGTCCCATCTCCTCCCCCTCAGCATGGATCATTGATGCTAATAATATTTCAATAGAAATACCCAGTGGTCATTATCGTATACACCTCTTCTATTGACAAGGGAGGCACATGAAGAAATGTGCGTGCTGCGATAGCGCATATGTTAAGGAATCCTTCCCGGAAAATTCTTGCACTTTTTCCAACATGAATATGTCAGTTGTGATCACTGGAGACAACACACAAAGTTTCACGCATGAAGATTCGGTTTCCGAAGAGAAACAAACTTACAAAACCACACTCTATGGACAATCGAAGGTAATCGGCGGAGCCAAAGGCGGGGCATGGAAAGAAGTCGCCTTGGGGCGGCTACGTATCAGGCGACGCAATGAAAGAATCGGGTTAAAGCGTGCGATTTTGGAGAGTAGAGACAAATCGATCGATAGAATAGGATGCAGTAGAAGTGTGAGATGTTAGTGCAATAAGTCAAAAGGTCAAAAAGAGTTTCTAGTGACAGCACTCCGTGAACCAAGTGGAAGCGTTCCCGCCGCCAGCATTTGTGACAGATGTCCGGCGGGAATTTGAACGCGTAGCAGTCCTTCCGGTTTTTCGAATTGTTTACCAAAACAAATGCAATTTTTTGTTCTTTTCGTTCTTATCGTGAACATGGTCTCAAGCCAGTGATTTATGGGTGAGATGAAATATGATTTTTCCGGGTAGGATAATAAGGGGCTGACCCATCCGTGGTCGATTTCAATTGACCGCTTTTACCCTTCATACTTTGTTGACGTATGAAGTTAATTGAATTTTTTTTTCTAGCTTCGTGATGCCCGACGTCAGGAAGCCACTGACGGTGACATACCGAAATCAGCTATTCATGTTCTTGACACCATAGGAGGGGTGACAGCGTGAGATTTAGGTAGGACGATCTTTTTAGGTAAACACAGTTCTAGTGGCTTAGTATGATTTCACTTTCGCTTGTACTTTTCTCATCTGTATAGATTCTTATTTCCTTCTCATTTCTATTATATACCGGATGTTACTTGTAGCATATTTCTGTTGAACTCAGGTAATTGCATAGTACAGTGTATCTCGGACGTTTTTATCTATCATGTTTCTGTTTTTCCTCCTTCCCCGTCCTTCCCGGGAGGCGTTCAGCTGTCCTCCTAGGTCAGGTCACCAGAGCTGCGCGGTTATTGAAGCCTAAGGTTTTGCGTGACTTTAGCTTAGGCACGAGCAAATGAGTGGTGTCCTGATTTTAGGTGACCTGACCCGAGGAGGAGAACTGAAGCACATCCATCTTTCCCTTTCCCCTACACTCCCCTGCCGTTTTTGCCGTTGCGATACTTGCTGTTGCAAAATTTTCAGTTGTAATTGTCATCGAACCATGTATCATCTTCTTGCCTCTGTAGAACCCCACGTGAAATGTGATATTTTCTCTTTCTATAGCCTCATGTGCTGCTAATTCGAGCGGTCATCTGTAGTATCAATATTGCAATATAATATATTGCAAATTTTATCATAAGTATATGCCTAGTTTCATCCTTGTGAACAACTACAAACAGTTGAATCCAATGGCATAAGACGACAAAACTCGTCGGCAGCCTGTAAGCCGGTGCGAAGCGTGTTTGTACGCGATCTTGACACATAGATGATACTGTGACGCGCATGCGCGTCATATGTTTACGCGCGTGAGATTGCTAGATATGATTGACGTTCCTATGTTCAAAGCTGTCCATCTACATTATAGGATTATCCAGAAAAGATTAGATATAGCGGAATTATTGGAGGGGTAGTAATGACTTTGAAAAAGATAAGAAATAAAATGCCGAGGCATACGCACAACAAGTTGTCGTCAACGTATCAACGAGTCAGCTGTTGATTGGATTCCTCTGTATACTTGCCTATGCTTGCCAGTACTGTTGTAGACGATTTAGTTAATGATTTGCATTTCATTTATAACTTGAGGGGTCAAAGAGCCATATGTTTTGCAACAAATCGATTTACGGTTGACAATACTCACGTTCATTTTAGTTGACGTGTTATGGTATACTTAAAAGATGATAAACATTAGCATTTTGTGTTATATGTTTTTTGCCATGACTGAGCTGCGAAACCGAGAGGCGTGATCCACTTATTCTATGAAAAGAGTCGAGACCGAGTTTGAGGTCGTGGACGGTCCCACGACTTGGGTGGAAATCGGTCGAGAAAACGGCAACGGCTCGTCGAGAATTTTCGCCTGTTCGGTCACGCTCTCCGCGCGGATATTCACTCTCGCCACCCGCGAGCCGTCTGTGCTCTGCGCTAACATTCACTCTTTCACTTCTTAAGCACACTAGAGGTCATGGTCGAAGGATTCCTCGACCTTTATTCACTCTGCCCCACTAATTGCGGTGTGTCTTTGAAGTGAGGGAATATGATGAAGTGTCTGTGCAGTGTGGAAGTACATGTACCAGTGGAAGCAGTAGTGAGGGCCGTACGGAGCCATACGTGGTTTTTCGTGGTCAGGGGTGCGCTAGTTGCAGCGCTGTAGGATATCATCCTTTAGCTCCGCCTCCGCCTGTGCTCTTCTCATCACTGTGTTGCTAGCAGCATCACAGTTCGATTATCACCTTGATGAGGTATTCCAGCGCGTATCCTATAAAGTTCCCATGAAAGGCGTTATCATTAGAAGCATGTTCTTTGCTAGCATGGTGGTGGCTATCGGCTTGAAATCAGGGTCAACCGTCCGTTCGAACTGTTCGAACGAGGGGGTCGCATTTTGGTCGGAAGGGGGTCGCAATTTCGAGCTGCGAGCTGCGGTTCATGGCAAGATGAAATAGACTTCCAAATGCCAGCCACAGGCGCGTGCGTGGCGTATCCGAGGGCAAGAATTGTTTGTGCAGACCGCATTAGATTCGATTAATTATGCACAGAGAGACAGTTTTAGGCAAATTACGGTGTTTTCCTTGAGGAATAAAGAACAGTTGAATGCATCCCTATGAAAGGTTTGACTTCTCGGGGCTGAAATTAAAGTTCTTCGGGACCTAATTTTCTGAGGACGATTCTTCCAGACAACGTAAAACACATAAGAAAGCAGAAATCTCGTAGTCTTCAAAAATGTCTTCGCCCTCCCCAACAAGCTCTTTGAAGGAAGTTATTATTGCTGAAAGCTCAAAAACTCGCATGTGCTGCTCAAAAACCCAGGGGAAAAATGTTCGAACGTGTGAAATAAGATCAGAGAGGCTGGCACTTCTCCAAGTGCGGGTCGATGACCGAACGCTGATCCTCGTTGTGAACGCATACGCTCCCACCAGCGCCTACGATGACGCCGTTGTCGAGGACTTCTATGAACAAATTTCAGAAGCCATCCGCACAAAACCCCGTGGCGCCAGAGTTATCGTCGCCGGCGATTTCAATGGTGTCACCGGGTGCGGCCGTCCCGGCGAGTGCTTCGTCGGTCCGTACGGTCGTGGAGACCGCAACCCTCGGGGGGAGGTCTTAGCCGAGTTCGCCGAGCGGGAGAGGCTATTTGTAACCAACACCTTCTTCCAGAAGCGACAGGGGCGGCGGTGGACCTGGCGCAGTCCCAATGGGATAGGTAAACACACGCTGGACCATATCCTAGCCGGGAGCCTCAGGTACTTCGACGACGTGACGGTCATCAGCGAGTCGCGGTTCAATATCGGGTCCGACCACAGGTTGCTCAGGGCAACGTTCAAAATAAGCGGAAAATTGGAGCGGCGGCTCAGGGCAATAGCCCAGCAGTCTAACATCAAGACGAAGGTCAATTCTGACATCGTCCGACTGCTAGCCCCTGTCATGACTCTCCGGTCATGATTTGGGGTAAGCACATTGACCGCCACACGTCCTATTAGTCATTAACGATCGATATTTGGAATTTGAAAGTACCGCCAACAAACCATTCCAACAAGACATTCTAAAGGACCGCCCTCTCGCCTCATTATATATACCGCCCTCTTCTGGGGGGTATAAAGACGGCCTCCTGAACGGCGGAGCCAGTCTTCGCTCCTTCATTTTTCCTCTCGAGTATTCTCAATCTCCTTCTCACTCTCCCTTCGAGGCCCGCCCCCAACAAGCGACTACGGTCGCACCTTGACGCTCTCACTTCGACGCCAGCTTGACACCTACACCGCAGTGGACTTACGCCAGTCGGACTCGCCAC